AGTTGTCCTTTCTCCATTTTACTTCGGCGCTAGTCGCTACGACATAGCAATATCTGTGTATTATATAGAATACATCATGATAACACCATTACATAGATAACAACATGCTGATAACACCATTACATAGACTACACTCCTAAATACAACATCATAGACTACACCATATACTTCTTGTCATAAAATAGACACTAGGAAATAGAATAGGTCATTGATTAAGTTATAGACTACGACATAGGCTTGGTGATAGACTAGACACTAGATCAAAGACTAGACAGTAAAACATAATCTAGATCCTATGATCCTTACAAGTTCAACCTTCCATAGACTGACTTGCCGCAGCTTCGAGACACACAAAAAACATTTTTTCTCGCTGTGTCAACTCTCCTAGGATCTGGCTTCCATTAAACTTTCATGCCGCTCTGTCATGCCTGTCTGTCACCCTAGACTAAGGGTCGAAAACCTGTGGCCCTAATCGGCTCCCGGGATTTGTAATTAATAAGTTTCCCTATTTATTAGCTTTTTAAAAACTACTTGTAAAATAAAATTTAGGGAGGGATATAACACCTATTAGTTTTTGCACTTTGGAGTTTACTATTCGACGACTTTAAAGTGCGTTTTCAGTATGGAACCTCCCCCCCCCCTACCACAACAAAAAAAAAAAAAAACAATGAGAAGAAAAGAAAGTTCTTTAGAAAAGGTGTTAGATACAGTGTTTCTAGTCATGGTCTTAATACAGTGCTCTTACATATACAATTCGGTTAGCTTGTCCTTGAAGCAGAACATTTGCAAGCAGAATCAGCTTTAAGAAAGTGAAGGTCTACGTAAATCTTATGCTAATCTTTCGGAATACCAATCGTATACGCGTTTAGCGTAGTCGTTAGGAAACAAATCAATGGGAAGAAATCGATTCAGTTAAGTTAAATTTACCTTGATACAATGGTTTAAGGTTTAGATTTATTATCGTTTGATCGGGCAAGACTGAAAGTAAAACTAAATGGACGCCCGCAGATCCGGAGACCACAGTCCAGTTCATTCACGAAGTTGGACTTGTTGGTTAAATTCTCCGACATGAATAAAATTATGACGGAGAATAAGAAAAAATAAGTCGGGCAAGTAAGGAGAAGGTGTTTTAAATCTGACCTTCGTGTAGGTCGGATTGAAGTTAAATTGGGCGAGGAATCAAACGGAATTAGTAAGAGTTCTGGAACGTTCTGACCTTATTATCAGCTGACAGGATGCTGGGTGTCACGCTTGACTTCACCTGGTTGATAAACAATAGCAGAGGGAGTTACACCTCACCTGATGCGTCCTGCCGTATCACGACGCAGGTGAGAAAACGAAAGGTAGAATCTAATCAACGATACAGGTTGAGATTTATGTGTAGCCATCCAGGGCGACTAACGCATAGAAATGAAATGCTCGGTATCCACAAACAACACACAGGCCGCTACATCAATGTATTTAAATAAACATATTTTACCGTTCTTATTCACTTTTTAGTTAGCAGTCGCCATCTTGTAAATTGTTCATCAATGTGCTGATTAAAGTAGGTAATTTTAACTACGTTTTTAATTACCTAGATGTCGACTTAGGGGCCCTTTTGTAGTGTACCAACCGGGGCCCTAAATACACGTAGCACGTCTGTGTAACTATTTTACTGAGATTAATTAATTCTATTCTGTTCTGTTTTGTTTGCTATGAAAATAAAGAGACGTGTCTGAAGTTATTTGTTAGAAGATTCCATGAGCTGACATCTTTGAGTAGGGTACGGGTTCTAAATCTATTTCAAGGAGACATTGGAACCATAAACTGACCACCATTTTGGCTTTATAAAGGCATGATCTTGGATGACCACTATCTTCTCCGTGAGAAGCATTTTCTGTGACATATTGTCCTACCTAAACGCCATCTTGTTTAAATCACCATTTTATCGACCTTGACGCCATCTTGTTTAAATCACCATTTTGCCTGACCTTGACGCCATCTTGTTTAAATCACGATTTAGCCTGACCTTGGCGCCATCTTGTGGGACGCCCTCTATCCTGTTTGACATCACCTACCCCATCATTTGTCGTGATGCTGTCTGTTGTTTCTACCCTCCATTACCGTGTCTCACAAACAAGCAATCAATAGCACTAGCGTACTGTAAACCAAAGGCTTTTACTTGTGTGTATATGCTTGTTTCTGGTCGGGTGTTTATGTTTGTGAATCAATAGGTGTTGTAAAATCTTTAGTGTTTAGCGCAGCTAGACTATTGAAAGGATAATACTGTATAACCTTCAATTGAGCATTTGTAAACTCTACGGGAGCAAAACATACCCACAAGTGTAATATAATGTGAGGGTGGGGTGGCGTGGAGAGTGGGGGATTAAAACACCTTGACATTAAGTAGCCAGATAATAGTCCACATTGTCACCTCAAGGAATTAGCATCTAAAAAGTAAAACTACTTGCTTGATTACTGGTGGCAAAAAGATATTTGCGCAGCTCTTATTAGCTGATATTATCACAAAATCAAAATAACTTATTGACTTATAGTATAGTAAAATTGATCTTTCTCTTTTTTTTGTTGTTATGGTGAATTCGTTTTCCATTAACTTATTTTGTTATCTTTCTCGTAGCAAATTTATCTTTGTATGTTATCGCTAGTTTATTTTCAAGTTTCTTTTAGATTATAGTGGCGCTTGTTTTCCACGAACAACCCACTACGTAAACACACGAGATCTAGTTTAAGACAATTCTATTTAACATTTACTCAACAGAAACCAAATATTATAATGACTGTGGCATTGTCTACGCTGGTTTGGTCCACATTAAAAGACACGCAACTCTTCTCGGTCACGCCAATGCTCCCCCCTTCTGTCATTAATTGGGGGAAATTTCTATTTCCTTAATCAACGAAACAATAATCGATAAGCGATTAAGTTAGGGATCTTATTCGATTACAATAAAAATAATCGATGCTAGAATATCGGGATGGGGCGATTTGTTTGAAATGAGATCTGGATTGAAATTACAGACATTTTTTTTTAAATGTGTGGGCAGTTGTGTGGTTTTTAATGTGTGGGCCTTTGTGTGGTTTGGTGGTCATGTGATACGTGAAATAATTACCGGAACTTTGAGGGATGAACATTGTTCAGGCGAACTTAAACCTGACTCCGCCTCGTAAAGGGGAATCGTGACATCGGTATATTAAGGTGTATAGGTTTACATTGTTTGTAAAGCATATGGAGGGGGAGGGGGTGGAATGCCGTGACAGGAAGAAGATGAAATTTAGACACGACACAAAATGTATCATGTTTGGTATTAGGTATGAGGTTTTATGTCAAGAGGAGGTCTGGAATTAAAGAACATTTATATTAAAGAACCAGTTTCAAGGTAGGGAAAGCAAAAACAAAGCCTTTACAATAATAGTGACATCGGACTGCACTCAGCAGACACGTTTAAACTAGACTTTAAATTAGTGTTGTTTAGTATTGAGATACATGTTTGGTTTGAGACTTTATGAAAATTAGACCATCGGAAACGAGTCTATGATATTACCCCCCCCCCCCACTGTCAATTAATCCCGGTCGTAACCCTCTGAAGTAACATCCCAAATCAATTCCCCGCTCCCCCCATGCTATACCCGGCGGTCTATAATATGCCTGAAATTGGAAAGCAGAATCTGAATATATTGCCTGAAATACGTTAAACTGGTGAAGTGTATATTAAGCTTTAATGCTCTAAAAAATAATAATAGAAATGGAAAAAAATGCATAATCTTATCACCAACCCTAACCTCATATCTGATCAAAATTATGACCACAACACTAGCCTTAACGATACCTTAAGATTTAGTTTAGGTTTATTTTTCAGATTATATTTAGCATCAGTTTGCAATCACTAGCAGTGTCTAATGTCCTACTTCAGTTTTTTTGGTCAGCGGGTAACGTAAAGAGAGGAAAATGGGTAACTGTCACAATAAACACAATTTTGCAGAACATCAGGAAACTACGACTACCAGAAGTTAACAATAGCCACACAACACAAACACACAAGTGACAGAAAAAGTCCTAGAGTTTACGTCAACAAGTTCGACAACCCCACAGAAAAATCCCCCCCCCCCCAGCCTTACTGCATGTAGGGCCAGCCATTATAAGCACTCATGTATTCATATATTCATAGCGCCTCCGTGTTTCCCAGAGTGGTTTATGGTTTTCTCCCCTGTCCCATCTCATCCCATAATCCATACTATCGAAAACTTGCAATTTCCTCCCACTTCTCGCTGTTAAAGGGCAGCAACTTTGTATTTTTTTTCCACATCTAACTTGTTGTTACGGGGAGACAATTGCTGCGTAAATTCTCTCCCCTGATAATAAATAAACGTCAAAATTCCGATTGTGTCAAAATCTGCTACACCTTATACAATTTAGCAGGTAAACGTTTGATATTAATCCTAAAAACTTATCTGATGTAAATTCTCAAAAAAAATCAGTTGCGTCCTTTCAGCTGTCATCACTAGTTAAGTCAACTTTTGTTTTTATTGTCTTCAGGCCGGCAAAAAAACTGGGAATCAGGCAAGTGAGGAATGTACACAGACAGTTGTGTGACGTGAGTGTACACATCTTCATGTGTGAGTGTACACATCATGTGTGAGTGTACACATCTTCATGCGTGAGTGTACACATCGACATGAGAGAGTGTACACATCTTCATGCGTGAGTGTACACATCTTCATACTAGCAGGATCCTTGGGTCGGTACTTCACCCTTTTCTTCTTTTGAGTTGAAAGTTTCAATAAGGAAATTAGTAACCGTTTTGCGTAGGGATGCATCGATACAGTTTTTGTAAGAATATTAGCTACATGTAATTATAATCTTTAAATATATAAATGTAGAAAAAATCTTTAAAAATATTTTTAAAGTAAAGATATGTAAAATTATCACACACATAGCTAAATGGATAAATAAATAAATAAAGTTAAAGTGAAAATAATAGTGAAAGAACTATTAGACATACTTCTCATGGACTCGTTAATCCGTTTCTCACACTCCCACTTTGCCTTGAACAGATGTTCCCGTTGTTGGCTGGCTTCAGTGATGGTCGCAGCCTGTACAGATGGGATATATGTGTTATATAAGTCATGTACAGATGGAAGATATAAGTGTTATATAAGTCGTGTACAGACGGAAGATATACGTGTTATATAAGTCTTGTACAGATGGTAGACATATGTGTTATACAAGTCATGTAGGCCTACAGATGGAAGATATACGTGTTATATAAGTGTTATATAAGTGTTATATAATTGTTATATAAGTCAGGTACAGATGGACAACATACGTGTTAGAAAAGTCGTGTACAGATGAAAGATATACGTGTTATATAAATCGTGTAACACACACGCTTCTGCACATAAAGACACGCACATGTATATGCATTTTAGACTAACGTATCATAACGTTTTGTAACTCACAAAACAAATACACACACAGACACACAGACACACACACACACACACATATATATATATATATATATATATATATATATATATATATATATATATATATATATATATATATATACATATATATATGTTGGCATGAAGCTTTTAAGGTGTTATTCTGTGAATATTCCCTTGACCTTTACATTTCGATGAAACAAAAGCTTCCAAACCATGTTTTTATCCACCCTGACAGAATTAGAACGACGTCACATTATGGCATTCTGCCACTTCCGGGCACAGAGTGAAAACGAAAGTTGCTGGGATTTTTTTTAACGTCTTGTGTACACCAAATTGACCTTTCACTGCAAAAAATTATATCCGGAAAAAAAAACCCACACAAAAACAAAAACTTAAACAGAGAGCTTTATCTTTCATAGACGACAACAGGCCACACCACAAATCAATTTTTTAAATCGCTCCCGAAAGGCTTTTCCGGCGTAAGAAAATTTAATTCGATAATAAATCTCGGAATTTCAAAGGCTAATGACACTTTAAAAAGCAGCCAAGTATGAATAAAAAAAAAGTTTAAAAAAAAAATTAATTTGCCTACACTACAAAAAATAGTTTCTTATTTCCTGCAGTTGAGGTTACAGAACTTGATTTTTAGCTCTTATCCATTTTGAATGAGCTTGTTTTGAGCTTAAAGATCATGTATACGTCTTTATCTTAGATCTAACAGGCAGGCAATAACTTTTAAATAAAAAACATTTCCAATGCTGCCATGTGCTGATTAAATTAAACCAGATAATTATCTATAGCCCTCCGGAAGAATCAATTAATATCTTAATTACTAGATTTCCAGAACGCGGTGTGTATAAAATATCGGTTCGACCTAGAATTTGTAAAGCATTTCGTTCAGGCGATTTTAAAACCCTTCATCATCTCATCCTATTAACACCCTCTTTCCCCCACCTAACCTCTTCCCCTCCCCCGTTCTATCTCCCCACTCCCCCATTCTAGCTCCTCACTCCCCCGTTCTAGCTCCCCACTCCCCCGTTCTAGCTCCCCACTCCCCCATTCTCAGTCCCTTCCTCCCATTATTGCCCCTTTTCCCCATATTCTAACACCATATTTTCTCATTCTTCCCCACTCTAATACTCCGCCCCCCCCCTCCCCCACACACTCTAGCCTCCCTATATTTTTACTCACTTACCCGCCCACACATTTTAATTCTCCATCTCCCATTCTAACAATTTAAATATCTTTTCTACCACTCTAGCCCCTCCCCCATTCTCACCCCCTCACTCCACACTAACCCCACCACCCCACTCTACTGCCCCTTAGCCTAAATGCACTGTCCGCTTGCCGAGTCACACAACTGTCAAACCATTTAACCGGTTAACGACCAGATTAGCCTGACATTTCAGTACACACCAGCCACCTCTTCAAATCTGGTCCAGCCATTGGTGTGTGGCCACTTGTCTTAGACAAACTGCCCATTGGAGGGAAAACAAACTCCCACGTAGAATCAATTAATAAACCCAGACACACCAAACCCTCCAAGACAAATCGAGCAGTTAGTAACTGGGTAAGGTTTACTTCAGAGACGACCCTTAAATCACGATTAATTTCAATTTTTTTTTTGAAAAACGATTTAGAACAGATACGGTCTTTGATACATGACTTTTATTTTACTACCGATTTTGTTTGAGCTAAAACTCCCATAAAATTGGTGTTGCTAGCTATTTTTTTTTAAAATTTATAATTATATTTTTTTTTCTAACAAAGAGCATATAAAATAGTTAACACATTTTAAAATTTATAATTGCGATTTTTACTAACAAAGAGCATATAACATAGTTAACACTTTTTTTAAAAACTATTATTAAAATTTTAACAAAGAGCATATAAAATTATAATTAACACTTCTTTAAAATGTATTATAATTATAAAGAGCATATTAGATAATTTATAAGTTTATTTGAGAAGTCCCAACATAAAAGTGTGCAAACACGAACAAATCTTTAGAAACAACGAAATAGGCCTACCTACTCCTGAAATAGACTTTTTTTTTCTTGCTGCTTCACAAATAAGCAGAAGTCTAGAAGTTTAAAAAAACACTCCATGGTAACAAATATGATTCATTAAAATTTAATGGGCCAGTCTAAAGACACTGTAGGAAAGGGATATGAGGTGGGGGATGCTGGGTTTTTTAAAGCTAAAAAATCTCGCACACAGAAGGAAACAGTAAAAAAATGTTTTTTTCGAGCAATGTGAACCTTTTAACTTCCACCCGAACTTAAAATCGTTTACTAACTACAAATCAGACACCCCCCCTCACAAAGACGAAACAATGTCAGGAAACCAGTCTCTTATTGCGTTAATACCTAACAATAATTCTAGAGTAAATAGAAAATTCTGTTTGTTTTTTATTCTTAAGAAATACAGCCCTAATACGTCACATTTTTCACTCCCAAGTTACTTTTTTCCGCTGTTTGATGTAACGCATCATCATACACATCTAAACCCCAGTCCCAAGGTGTGCGACGTCTATCATGGATGACCTTTAAAGTAGAAACCAACTAGCAACGTTTCTTTCAATGAGGATGGTTTGATCTAGGCGATTAGCCTAGGGTCAGTGATGCGGTTTTATCTAGGCGATTATCTAGTCGATTATCTAGGCGATTATCTAGTCGATTAGGCGATTAGGTCAGTGATATGGTTGTGTCTTGACAGTAAAGTGCCGTAAATAATTTATTAGAAGATTAAAAGCCTTGTCATAAAACCGAGTGAGCTTAAAATCCAGCTTATCGTATTTCATAATTTACATAAAGTGGTAATTGGAGTTGCACATGACGGGAATTTGAAGACATGACATTTTTAAAGTTGTGACTCTTTTATTTATTTTATTTCATTCTAAAACTGAAATATATTTCTCGTAGTTAACACTAATTTAGACGTCCACTGTTTGATTATCAATTTGTCAGACGTCCAGCGTTTAACCATCACTCTGTAGACCGTACAGTATTCGACCATCGTTGTTCCTGTCAAGGTTTGTCTAAATGCAGAGGCGTAAAGAGGCGGGGGGGACATATGTCCCTGGGCGCCGACCTTAGGGGGGACGCCAAAATGGGTTGGAAAAACAAATTGAAAGTTTGAGGGGGGGGGGGGGTGCAAATCGAAAGTTTGTTCCCGGGCGCCTGGAAGGGTCGCTACGCCTCTGTCTGAATGTAGATGACGATGGAACTTTAAACACGGCAGTTATGATTCAATATTTGAAAGAACAAAATAGAAAATGCCAGATATAATTTCCTTAAAAAAAATGGCCAGCAGGTAATAATATTTTAACTTTGGAAGCAAAAAAAAAAAAGACGCAGTGATAAAATAAAAATGTAATTACAGTCAGAAGTTAAAACGACTATTGTAATTAAAGAGATAGAATAATCAATATCAGTCACAGTACCGACGCTAGACTTGAGTAAAGACTAGAATTCTGTGGAGATTGCGCTTAAAAGAGAATAATTTCAAATTCGCACCGAAATAGAAATAAATGCCATTTCTTTATCCTCTTTAAGCTGACGACGATGCTTTGAACTTTGATAGAATTAAGTGAGATTTCTTCCCAGATATAACGTCAGTTACAGCTATTGGTGAGGGGAGGCTACTTAAGACGTCGGTGGAAGAAGGGAGGATACTTTAGAAGGGGGAGGAAGAGGGGAGGATACTTTGGAAGGGGGAGGAAAGTGAGAGTTAGTTGTAAGGGGAGGCTACTTAAGACGGAGGAACTGCACAATGGCATTGGTGGAATCGGATGTCAAATGAGAGATTGATAAAGCGCAGGGGTCAAACACTAGGTCACGTGACTGAAGTACTTTTGTAACTGATACTATTTTTAGATGGTTTGATTCTTCAAGAAAATCTAGATTTTTTTTTTTACGAGCAAGAACGCATTGTTTATTAAACAGGAAATAAAATAGGTAATCTCTTAAATTCTATATGTGTAATTAACACTTATCATTGAGAACCAACTAAACTTAACACAGCAACTACACTCAACAACAACAGTAAAACATTCGTTACACGAACCACGCATAACACGATAAATAGCAACGGCTCTTTATGAGGTAGGCAATAAATCTAAGTTTTAGACCCGTTTTTCCATGACCCCGTTACGTGTTGACATCATAAATGGATGACACATTAGCTTATATTTTTAGTAACACTCAACATACTCAAAGCAATACGCAACCTATCATGCTCATCTCAAAAAACACATTGATCAAAATCCCAGCTAGACACATTACACACACACACACACACACCCTTAACACATCCCCTCAGCGCCCTCCTAAACATACAGCCTATACCCCTGAAAAGAATCCCTCAATACACCCCGTCAGTACATCTTCTCATTCCCCCCCCCCCCTTTCAACACACCCCTGCAAAACACTCCTTCAACACACCCTGACTCCACGCCCTCAACTCATCCAAAAATACCCCCTTAACACACCTCTCAACAAATCCCATCAGCACACCTCTTAGACACACTTCCTCAACACATCCAGACAAAATACCACTTCAACAAATCTAGACAAAATACCCCCGAAACACAGACAAAATAACCCCCAACACATCCAGACAAAATACCCCTTCAACAAATC